GAGTAAAGGTCACTTCTCATACGGAGAAGATTTGAGCAGTAATCACAAGTTTGTTTAAAAAGGATTGGCACTTACAAAATAATAATTAGAAATTACAAGACCATGTTTCCTTAAAATGGTTACCTTCACCATATCTGAGTAGTGTCTGTTTTAATTCTGAGAACATTCCTTCAGTAGGTACTGGTCAGGTTTCGATCCTGTCCCTAGTTATCCCTTGCGGCCTCCTTAACCTTGAGGCTACCAAAACACGATTGTAAATTATTTATGCTAATGACTTCATATTAAACACACTTAAGATTTGCCTGATAGAAATCTCTTGCCGTTAGCATACGGAGACAATTGAAAAAAAAATTGTTTCTTAATGGCAGTCAATTACTTTTTTCTTAAAGATTTATGTCTTCTATGTTTATAAGATTACGGTGGAAGAATTTTACAGGAGCACCGAATATAAGGTTATTAAATGTGCTTGCAAAATCCTCGAGTTGAAACCACAAATAAGAAGACATAGCATTGTTGGACAGTCCTTATTTAACATAAATGGACAGATCTTTTTTTCTGGACGAAACATTATCAAGTTACTTCTCCCACCCTTGGTGGGGCGAATATTAAACTCGTACTGACTAAAGGGGTAGGGAACGCGACAAATTATTGCGCTTACCCCCTGCCCTGTGCCTAGAATGTAATTTTAGATCTTGTAGGCGCATAGGTTCATGGTGACCCACACGCAGAGGATCAGGCCTCTGAAACCCCTTTTCGACGATTAGCACGCTTGGGGCCGTCAAAGCCTTGCCGGAGTCGTGACAGAAACTATGTGTGTTCATTATGAACAATAGCTACTTTTATAAATATAGCATTCTTGAAAATGTTTATGCTAAGTTATGCTTATTGCTTTATAGTATTAACCGTTAAAAAGCTACGCCTAAGCTGTTATGCGCAAATACACAGAAGATGAACAAAAGTTTAGCGAAATATACTCTTGATGTAGGGTATAGGTCTTCTAAAATTCTATGCACATGCATAGGAATCTGGATAACATAATCAGAGTAACGAGAAACCTTAGGTTTCAAATCGCTCGGCGCGAAAGATTCAGGGGAGGCCTTGTTTATAAATTAACTAGCGACCCGCTTGGCTTCGCACAGGTACACCCGCTGTAAGTACAATATTTTTGGACATAGGTACACATAAACCTTCCTCTTCAATATCTTCTCTTAGTTGCAAAGTTTTAAAGATTTCAGCATACATAAGTAGATCTCCAGGGACAGAGAAAGCGACTTTGTTTTATACTGCGTATATACATATGTATAGTAATGTTAACAATTTACATTACTTATGTAAAAACTACGTGAGCCGTAGGCCCACTAATTCATGCTGACGTAATATTAAAATTAAAAGATAAGAATTGAAGGAGATTTACCGAAAACACCAATTAAGTGATAAAGAACAAATAAAAAATATTGATATCTCTGGTCAATATGGTCATGACACGATCTTATCAGTTACAATGATTTCAAAACGACCATTCCGTTTTACATAACACTTCTATTATTGTCAGATGTACTGCCTAAGAAGAATTCATATTCCTTTTGATTATTATAAAAAATCCCTTAAAAAAATATTGTTAACATTTTAACGACTCCAAGAAAGGTTATTTATTAATTTATTGTACACAAAGAAAGAACCATATAGGGCGAATTTAAAATATATTAACGCGAGAATTCACGTTGTCAACATTAATTACTATAATTAAAATTTATTTTATCCAACCTATGGATTAAATAAATTATAAATTAGGATTTGTTTTAGCCATGGGCTAGATAGATATCAAAACGTTGTATTCAGATAAATTGATAATGACGCTATTATCTTTTTTGATATGAGATTTACTTCGAGTCACAGGTACGTTGACCGGTGATCTTAGTGTAAAGACCTGGCTCGATTACGCATGCCAAAACATCATACAAAACATACAAAACATTTTCAAGGTCTTCAAGCGACCCAGAGAGCTAACATACTTCCAAACAAATCACTAAAAAGTTCATCGTCCGATACCTTAATTACTACAGTAGTAGAATTTCTATTAATCATCATCATTAAGACAATCTAAGTTGATAAACTAAAATCGACTTTAATTTTATCAAGTATAAGGTATAAAATAAATTGATAGCACGACCACGTGTTTAATTTGCTGAGCATAACGTGCGATTGAACGTCCTTGTCAGAACGTTCAACCCGGAATACAACTGTGGCGATAAAGGTCGTTGAACTATTATCCAATCTCAATAGCTGCTTATGTAAGTCCTTCACACGTTATAATATGGCGACCTTCACAGTTTATTCCCCTACAATAGAGGTTGTTGACATATATAATACTGGCTCATATTTTTAGAACGAAAACGACTTATCTGCGATACAGTTTTTTAGGTAACGTTGTGGGAATACTCGTATTTGTTTGCACATTTGAATACGGCGCGACGTAATACATGTCTTTGACCTCAATACGGGAACTTGGACTTTTTATGGGGTCATAACCTGATTCAAGGCTGGCATAGTGCACTTTTAGACTTAGATGTCTATATAATGTGCATTAGATGTGGGTACTCTGCATGTTCTAAGAATACCTGTAAATATCATAGTTCAAGCGCTCGGAGGAGTTCAAGATCAGAAGTAATCAGGCGCGTGACGTCATCACAACAATGATGCAGGAGTACTGATGGGGCTTAATTAGGTTGACGATGTTAATAATGCGGAAACTGTTCACTATGGTACTAAATAGGCAACAAGGGCGTCTTGCCTAACTTATCATTGAATGGATACATATTCGAGTATATACTTGAAAAAGATCAATGCACCCACGTATTTATCATAATTATACATATTTACAAACATGACAGCAGCATACCTCATTTGAATGCACCGATAATATCTATCTGCGTAGTTAAGAGTACCAAATATTATTTAATTAAATAAAATCTTAAAATCAAATCAAACCCGACTACAGATTTATTAAAATACAGGTACTTCCGTTCCTAAACGTATTTAATAAATTAAGATTAAAATAAAGACATAAAAATGGGAATGTCTATAACTTTTCAAAAATTGTAGCAAGTGCCCCACAGTCTTGCCCTGAAATAAAACATCAAAGGCCTACAGAATACCGTTTGACCTACTTTCCACGAGTAAGCATTAGTGGCCCAATAAGCTTGAATGAAATGAAAACAAACAAAACCAAAATTGTTAGGCATACCTAAGTGGATGAAAAATCTAATTTTGATAACCTTAGGTTTCATAATTAATGTATAATAATTAATTTTTATTTCTTTTCTAAAAATCCCCGTACAGATAACATATGTAGTTGTAGCTAGTAATCCTACAACGCCATGGAGTTACAAGTGCGTTGCCGGCTTTTCGGGGATTAGAGATTTGAGGAATGGGGATTTGACGATTGGGGATAGAAAGTGAACGTATGGGAGTGGGGAAGAGTTGGTTTCCCCCCTCCCATTCGGTCACGTCCGGTTACCTCACTCACACAACGCAAGCGTCGTGTATAGCCGCTCATCAACGCTCTTCAAGACGGTTGCTGTGAGGCCGTGGTATGAGCCCAGTAGAGCCGGCCCTTTCGCGCCGAAGTATGGTTGTCCCACACTTAAAACTATTATTTTATAATGACAAACGTCGCATGCAGCTGTACCTAGTGACCTCCCATGAGTTTCGAATGTTTTTGTAAATGGAATGACTGTGAATTGAAGTAAAAGTTTTTTTATTGTGCTGTCCAAGTTGAGGAATTATTAGTTTTGTCTTTGTGTTGTTACTCTATTGAAAAAGTTAATTTTTGGCTTGGATTTAGGTTTTTTTTTTTTTTGATGATATATTGAGTTTGTTGACTATACTGGCAGCATCTATTATTATAATTCTAATAATGACATAAAAAAAATAAACTCTGCACATTTTTATGAGCATTCCTACACAGATATTGCATACAAGCAAGCAATTAGGTTATTTTAATATATCTATCATTTTCTTCTACGCTCAACCTGATCAAACTTTGTATATATTAAATTAATTACAAATATTGGAAATTCTTGTAAAGTACACACTATTAATCAAATTGTTCCGTGCCCTAAATTCACAGTTCGTTCAATATTAATTAAATAAATAAGATAATAAGAAAAAATAATTGCCTACGGATATTAGACAAATATTATAAATACGTCACTTGTAAAAAAAAACAAACTTAACAATTTATTTATTTATTTTCCTAAAGATTTTACACAAAAATTGGTCTGACCTGATAAAAAAATTACACTATTTTTCCATTTAATATTTACTACTTTGATAGCATTTTCTTTAAAATGTATAAAAAAGTATAAAGTATAAATAAGAAACAAATGTATAAAAAAGGGCTTAGGTACACATTCATCCAAAAACATTTTAACAATATTTACTCAATGACTCTAGATATTATTTTTATGAATCGAATATAATCAGATCTTTTACAGTAGGACAACATTCCATGTAACACTTATATCCATCATAAACGAATTCTTTCTAAAGTACAATTAGAAAAAAATCATATTACAAAAGTCCTATATTTTCCTTGCAATAAGAAGGTCAACGAACTCCAAATATTTCTTGTACTCATTGATGTATAGTTGAATTATTTATCAGTAAATCAATTCATACTCGCGATAGATAAAAATGGCAGCGGCCGTGCTTACATATATAAAACGGCGCGGAGCACCTTAGATCATTATTCAAAGCCCGACCGTATTCTGCACACTCGGTCAAGTTTCGCGGCGTCCTCCGCTGCCTACCAAAAATATTTTTAAATTTTAATTCTAACAACAATTCTTAATGTAGTTAATAAAAAAATCTTTTTCATAAAAAGTTTTTTAATAAATATTTTTATACATGTAGATTTAAATTTTTTCAAGATGTTTTACTATTATTTTCTAGTTTTTCTCGCTATAAATTTTTTATCGAGTGCATTTCTGCGCACGTTTATGTATTCTACATTAGTTTTTTGGATAATATTTAAAAATATTAAATACTACAAAAGCCTTCCACCTGGTAAGTGTTAAAATTCTTTATATCATTTACCGTAGTGTAGTTTGATTGATTTAAAAAAAAAATATTTATATTTTTCCCTTTTTAGGACCATGGGGAATACCGCTGCTGGGAATACTGCCTTTCCTGAACCGCAGACCCCCTCATATGGTGTACTTAAATATGGCTGAGAAGTATGGAGATGTATTCTCCGTACAGATGGGCAGCAACCTGACAGTATGCCTCGGTTCTACCAAACTTATGAAGGAATTTTTTAGTAGAAACGACTCCACCGGTCGACCGAACACTCCTTTGAACAACCTCTTGGGTGGACTTGGTAAGATATTAAAACTGTGCAAATTTAAAAGTGAATAAAAAATGTTAAAGTGACAACAAAATTATGGAAAATATATTATTTTTAGGGGTTATCACAAGTGAAGGTGTTCTATGGAAAAGACAACGTGTGTTCCTCCATGAGAAATTCCGCGCTCTCGGTGTCAAGCTATGGCCCAATACACGCTTCGAAAGAGACATTAATGTAAGAATAAATCTTATAAACTTACTAAAAGCAGTCAGTCGAAAGTATTACTATAACAAGTGTACTAATTGTGACAATTTCCAGGTTGAAATTGACGAGCTTATGATGGAGCTAAACCAGTCTGAAGGGAAATCAGTGAATCCAGCTCATGTATTGGGGAGACATATACATAATGTCATATGTCAGCTGATGATGAGTTTCCGTTTTACGGCCGAAGATTCGGCCTTTAAATTGTTTAATGAAAAAGTGTCCAGAGGAATGAGGTTATTCGGCTTGGTACTAATCGGCGAACATGTTAAAGCATACTTGGTGAGTCAAATAACTTTCATAATTCTAAATATTCAAAATATTATTTTAATTTATCCAGTGTTAGTTTTTTTAGAGTGTATTTTATAACTCTTATGTACGCAAAGTAAAATGTGGACTGTGAGATACTATACGAGTTACGTCAGTAAATTTCGATATTTTTTTTTTAAATTACTGCCCCTCACTAGATTTTCTCCTGTGTCGTGGGTGGGGAATTGTAGAAAGAAAAGCTTGTAAACGTATCTGCTGTTACAATTTGCAAAGTATTTTATGAATAAAAAAAAATGATAATAAATATATGCTTCCCATTTGAACATTGTATTAATTAAGCAAATTTATTTCAGAAATTACCCGGCAAAATGGCTGTCATTAACGAAATAAAAAAGAATTTAGCCGATGTTAGTGATTTCCACAAGGAGCGTATTGTCGCTCGGATCCAGCAACGCGAACAGTCCTCGGAGCCCCGGCAACCTGTTGATTTGCTGGACTTTTATCTCGACCACCTCGAAGCTGAAAAACAGTCAAAGGCGACAAAAAATGAAAAGCGTGACATATTCCCAGATGTTGATCCCGGTAATTATCAATAAACAACTTAATTAGATATTAGAATTCTCATCGATTTTGTGAACTTTTATAGGTAATTCTTAAAAAAACACTTTACTATATTTTGCCTATTTTTCAGTACAACAAATCGTCCAGATCATGAATGATCTATTTTCTGCTGGAATGGAGACATCACTGACATCATTGTTGTGGACCTGCATCATGATGATGAAACACCCCAAAGTTGCGGAAAAAGTGCGAGCAGATCTGAGGGAAGTCGTTTTACCTGGTGAGCGGGTGACCATGGGTCACCGCCTGCAGCTCCCCTACATCGAAGCGGTGCTTATTGAAACCATGAGAATGGTTTCAATAGTTCCGCTAGGAACGACACACGTCAACACAGCGTAAGTATTCTTAACTACCTATACGATACGGAATAATGCCGTTTAGGAAAGATTGGTCTAAATTGTAAACCATATTCCACTCAATACAATTAGAAATTTAACTGAACATGTATGTGATTAGCAACTTAGCTGGACGTATGAGGCCGATTACTCAAAATATGTTCCTCTTTTCAGGGAATGGAAAATTGGTAAATATACGATCCCAGCTGGTACTCATATTGTACCGTTGATACACCGAATGAATATGGATCCTGACATTTACATGGAGCCAGAACTGTTTAAGCCAGAAAGATTTATTCGAGACGGAAAGTTTACTATTACAGACACGTTTATGCAATTCGGCGTTGGGCAACGCATGTGTATCGGGAACCTCCTCGCAAGGATGGAGTTGTTCCTGTTTTTCGCCAATATCATGAACAATTATGAATTCTGTATGCCAGAAGGTGAAGATATTCCAGGCATGGATGGTATTCTAGGTTCCACTCACGCCCCATTACCTTTTAAATTAGTCTTCAAAAAATTGGAGGCGTAAGTAAGGTCTAAATGAAATCTTCCTATTACGTACCTAATTTTTGGTTTCAGTTCTTTAATTTTCAATAGTGATTTTATTAGCTTTGTTATTTTTAAGTTAAGTTCACGCCTTTTAAGCGCTACTTTTGGTACCTTATTATTGTTATTGGATATTTAAGATTTAGATTATAATGTTTTATTTTTGTTCTTGTATAAGTAGATTGTGATTTGTGCATTTTTGCCATTGTTACCAAACTTTTTGGGTTAGTTATGTAAGCATCATCCGCCTTTACCGCCTATGTTCCATGTATTTTATGAGATGTAAACCTAAGATTTTAGAAAATCATTTAAACCTAAGCTGGATTATGTAGATCATTATTCACAGGCTTTACAACTTTCACCGCTTTGCTTCCTAGGAAATCGTATTGTTAATATCTTTTATAGTAAGTAGTGTTGTTCAATTGTAATCGTTTACGATTCATGAGGGTTGTGCATACTATTGTACTCAAGTAGTATCTAAGTCAGAAAACGCTTACATTGTTATACTCCTTAAAAAGGAATAAAAATTAGGTTAACGTATAATTAATTATTTTTAAGTGCAAATACAAAGTACCAGCAGTGAATTTGATCAAATCAATTCATTGTAACATTAATAAGTAAGGTTAACTAGTTTTAGAATCCATTTTGTTAATTTATATATTGTTTTCCTTGATTACAATTAAATAAATGCTTCCTATTTAGTTCTTTTGTTTTATTCTTTTAAAGGTACAGTTAATATATGACCCTATTTTTATTATTTCGTAATTGACAGGCAATTTTGCCGCCATAACGCCTATGAGGTACATTGTTTTTTTACTTAAAGAATCAAGCAATAAGTTACGCCGATTTGGTTGTACAACCATTATATATTCATGTTACTAAAAGCTAATCCAAAGGGCTTCCTATAATAAAAAAAAAACTGACTTCATACAATCAAAGGTTCAGATCATTCGTCCAACCAATAACATAGTCTGATAAGAGCCTATGAATTTCCCGCAAGAAATGTGGAAATGGAAATTAAGATCCCTTGGTAATTGGACATCAAATTTTCAACAACTTCAATGATAGAACAAACAGATATTAATGCTAGATAAGTGCCATCTGGCGAATAAAACAAGGATAGCTCTTATCAAGTTCTGCACTTATAAAGTTAAATAGGAAATTTTATCATCTAATAACTTTTATTTATTACAGTTTAAATTTAATTAGCTACATTAGAGACCAAAGTCGTCTTTACTATTGGACAAATTATAATCAATTTAGCTTTTGTAGTAGGTACGAGTAGTAAAGTATCTCAGATGTTTAGTGATATAGACATTAATTTACATTGTAGATGGCGCTACCATCCGTTTTTAGAACACCAGAAACCGTTTGCAGCGTTTCAAGTTTTTAATTTAATTGTTAATCTAAATATTATATTGTACTGTGAACGAATTTGCCTATAGATTTTTATTATTAATCAAATAAAGTCATATCTCGACTTTGATGATTTTTTTTTTACATTCCTGCTTTTAAAGTACTCAAAATTACTGTTGCTAACAAAAATATTAGTATAATAAATAACATTCTATATTCTCAAAGCCCTTTAAATCAATAAAAAAACCATACCTCTCATAAATGAATCAGGGGTACACTACACTATTAGTCTAAATTTGGTGTACTAGAAAGACAATTAAACGAGGACAAATCTATAAAATAGGGAGTTGAAATATATGTAACGATTTTTATGATTTTAACCGATTTAAAAAAGGAGAAGTTTCCAAATTCACTGTTATAAGTCCTTTGTTTTAGTTTAAACGTTTTATAACTGAGGGTAGATTATGAATAATATGTATAAGCAAGCTCAAAATTAAGGGTAACCTAGCATGTTTAATGATAAATTTGAACGGTTATAAAGTTTTAAAATGTACACATCTATATGTCTTTAATCTACCTACATTAAGAAATATAAAATGAAACAAAATTTACAAAAACACTAAGTACGTATTTAAAGATTTTGAATATAACGGTAGGCTAGGCTTATGACTATATCGAAACAATTATCTTTTGATTTTTATTGATTTTTCTTATTTTTTTTTGTGTCGATTTTATTTATTTTTGATTTGTCGTTTTATTAAAATTAGCTTTTGGGTATGAACTACTTATAAGAACTTTTACACTGATGTTCCCAACAACGTAAAAACTAAGATTGTATTCAAACGGCGTACGTACTACTGTAACGTTTGTAAATATATAATTATATGATAAACACTTGGGTACATTGATCGTTTTCAAGTATATATTCGTATAAGTAGCCATTCAATGATAAGTTACGCAACACGCCCTTGTTGCACAACATTGCCTATATAATCTCTTAGTGAACAGTTTCCGCATTTTTAACATCGTCAACCTAATTAAGCCCCATCAGTACTCCTGCATCATTGTTGTGATGACGTCACGCGCCTGATTACTTCTGATCTTGAACTCCTCCGAGCGCGTGAACTATGATATTTACAGGTATTCTTAGAACATGCAGAGTACCCACATCTAATGCACATTACATAGACATCTAATTCTAAAAGTGCACTATGCCAGCCTTGAATCAGGTTATGACCCCATAAAAAGTCCAAGTACCCGTATTCAGGTCAAAGACTTGTATTACGTAGATCAGTTACCTAAAAAAGCGTGCGCATGCCGCAGATAAGTCGTTTACGTTCTAAAATATGTGCCAGTATTATATATGTCAGCGACCTCTATAGCGGGGAATAAACTGTGAAGGTCGCTTCATTACAATGCGTGACGGAATTATATAAACAGCTAGGTATTGAGTTTATTTACTTGTAGACTAGGGTATCTCCAACTATCTGCCAATTTTAATATCAAGAGAAACAAAATATTTAAAACTTATAAAAGTTTATAACTTATTAAACGACGTGGGTCTTAACTCTGTCATTCCAAGGTTTGTAGCAAAACTTTTCAGTTGTTTTCCAGACTCCAATATGAAACTTCAGCCGGGGTTGCGGGGTAAGCGCAATGAGGCACCGTGACCTCGGCCCAGAGCAGGAGAAGGAACAGGGGGGTTTTTAGTCGGTAAGAGTCTGACACTCCCTCCCGCCCGGCCCTGGGCGGGAGAAGTCATTTGATGATTTTCCCCTCACAAAAAATAATAATAATATGAAACTTGACTTATAGAAACAGAATTGTGACATAAGGTGTATCGGAGCTTGTTTCTGCCAGTAGGTATTTTCGTTCGTAGGATCAGACTAAAAAGTAGTATAAGTAATATTCCAGACTATATTCTACATACGTATCTCTTTGGTACCTAAATTATAATTAGATTTGTTATTTCTATAAGTAATCCTTATGCTTACAAGCTTATAAACTTTCGCGTTTATGAAAGATAATATTTTGAAACTAACAAGAGTAGATAGTTCTTAGACGATGGAAAATTTTCTTATTTCGAGCAGGGAGGGTATCAATTTTTTTCAATATCTGTAGTACATGGAGTATGGAAATATGGAGAACCATTTAACTTTAAAGATAGTGAAACTGAAGAACTTAGGTATCAATCGACATATATTAATTAGGCGGCGTAGGGCTGGGGTGTTTTATTAAATTTGTACCTGCAACCCCGGATGGTCCTGTTTCTGCAAATCCTGTTAATAAAGAAATAATAAGCAGCTGTATTTCCTCTAAAATAAATAAACTTGACTGAACTGGAAGAAATCGCTCTTTTTAAGTTACAATATTGCTAACACAGAGGTCTCTTAAATTTAACTAGGTATCATTAAATTTGATCTCAGTACAAAATCTTAACGTGAGACCAATATTTAACATTCGATATTTTAGGTTATATTTTCAATTTTGTTTGTCATCGGAAACTAACAAACTTTAAAAGTAGGAGATTCTTAGTTTGACCCGAATGTAGGTGATTCTTCGTGATTGGATGAACCGGTTTTATTGCGGTTTTTTATAAATGGAAACAGAGCACTCTGTGTATTTATACTCTATGCTGTAGTTAACGAAAAAAATTTGATATACCCTCAGATATGTATTTCTTTTTCTTTATAAATAGTGAAACCTGAGAACTGAAAGTTATTCGTTTGGTGTGCTTTTTGTTGCTAAGTAAGCTGTAATAAGAGTGTCTTTTAAAATATTATTAAAATTTTCAAGTGTTTTTCCGTTGGCCGTCTAAGTACTGGTAAGTTTTTGCTATTATTATCTACACTGAAACTTTACATAGCCAATATCTATTATTGAAATTTTAAAATTATGGTTAGATATTTTCTATTAAAATTGGTTATTATAAGAATGATTAGTGAAATAGAAATACTACAATACTGCGTAGATTAACATCAATTCAGGATTTAAATTGTTTTTATTTTATTTTAGTCGTTAAGATTATTTTTAATTAATTTTATAATTTACCTTCAGTTTACATAGTGTACGTGGTAACTAATATTTAAAGGATTCTTATTAAATAATTAATTTAATTCACATAATCTCTTGTGTAGTCAAAGAAAAATATGTAATCTGTTCCTGTATTTCTGGACACTACAGAAATCTACCTGGAGTATCTCCTGGTGGTAAGCAATCGGCGCCGCCCATTGAATACAGCAACATTAGAGGAGTAACAAATGCATTGCCAACCTTTTAGGGTTAGGGGTTTGAGGAAAATACCCTCTATTATGGATTTTGGAAAAAAAATATTTCGAGAAAGGATTTATTTTTATTTCTTTAAACATATTTTAACAAATTGTAACTTATTTTTTATTCATTACAGATGTGTGTGTGTGTTTTGATATTTACAAAATTTCCCTATAGGTCATTTTGTCACTCGAAATTATTTTTTTTTTAAAGTCTTTCACTCTCGTTTTTTGTCCAAGTGTCTCATAAGTGTTTTTAGTCCATGATTTAAATGAATACCGATTGTTGGAAACCGAACTTAAATCTGTCAAGTGTTTTTTGAGTTAATCGCTTTCGAACAAACAGATTGACAAACAA